TACGTGCACTGCCGTCATCCTGGATTGGTAGTTTTATTTTGGAGAGTCTCATGTTTCCATGTTTAGTGTGTTTAGTTTTGCCTCCACTGTGGCGTTGTGTTAATTTGTGTCAGCTGTTTTCCCCCAGGTGTTTCCACTTCCCTCATTACCCTTCTGTGTATTTAAATCCTCTTTTTTGAAGGAAGGCTCAGTGGAGGTTGAAGATTGTAAATGAATCGCCTAATCTCCCTCATTGTCGTCAGGAGTTCCCTCATCTTGATTGGTGGGTAAAGGAGCAGGGCGTGTCTCTGCCTGGATTTCTGCCTGTCCGCCAGGATCCTGCAGCCCATGTGTGTCTGTGTCAATATGCTGGCATTCAGTTTGACACCCTGTCTCATATCTAGCACTTCTAGCTCCAGGATACTAAACCTCATACTGTTGTAGGTAGGGCAGGGGGTTGACTGTCACGACCAGTTAATGGCTGCTGTGAATCCATGACAATAACACTACTCAGGGTACATCTCGGGGTCAAGGAGTTCCCCAGATCAACACAAATGGTACGGTTAGTGATAAGATGGCTTTAGTTACGTTCATTGCAGGAGTGATAAACAACACAGCTGATGTGAAACCTAAGCAGGAGCTTATTGTTAAAGCGGCAATTAACCACTTCAGTCGAGTCAGGAAACATGATATTATTTTATGTACTCATGGTACTTATTCTTCAATGGAATGCAAGGAGTCTGTTGGCCAGTGGCCAGGAGTTTAAGCATTTCATCACATGACATAATGTTAAACCAGATGTCATTTGTATACAGGAATCTTTGCTTAAATCATCTTTGGATTTTGTGTTGTATGGGTATAATGTAATAAGAAATCACAGGGACCGTGGTGGAGGGGGAGGATGTGCAACATTTGTCACACACGACATCCCATACAGACTCCTGGGTAAAGGCAATGAATTGGAGTATGTTGCTATTGAGGTTTGGGACAGGAATGAACCAAATGTTATTGTGAATTTCTACAATCCTTGCACCAGATTGGAGCCGCGTCTTCGTTCAATTGAAGGCAGTGATTGTCGTAGAGTTATTTGGTGCAGGGATTTTAATGCCCATAGCAGAATGTGGGGAGGTGGACACACAGATCCTAATGGTAATGTAATTGAGGAATTGATGGAAACATACAAATTGGTGTGTCTGAATGATGGTAAGGGAACCAGATGTAATGTTGTTAATGGAACGGAGTCGGTATTGGATTTAACTCTGGTCTCAAATGTCCTTGCAGGAATAAGTCAGTGGACCATCAGAACAGACACTACCATAGGCAGTGACCATTATCCTGTTTTCACTCTGTGAAATAAACTTACCACCGAGCTCTACACCTAGCTCTATATAGCCAAGGTAGGGAATAGACAAACCATTAGCCGCTTTAAGCTGCAACCAATGACAAGCTTGGAGACGCTCTTGACCCCAGGACTCCAAATGCTGGCGGAAAAAGCTTTCAGTTATGGTGGACACCATGGACCCCGTATCAACCAAACAAGGTACTTTTATGCCGCCCATGTCCACATCTATATACGGACAGGATGAAATTAATTTGAGACTGTCTCTGGACCATTAGAAACAACCCTTGAGCCATTAGACACCCCACCTGAACTGTGGCTCGGCAGTACGGAGGGTGCTAGTTTTCCGAAGCCGTATTTAAAGGAGAGTGCCTGCGATTATGCGGAGGGGCCTGCAAAGGAGGCCGGGAACGAGGAACACATTCCCCATCACACTCCCGAGCAAAATGTCCAGGTTGCTGACAACGTTTGCATATAATGGAATCGCTCTGTCCTGAGTGAGACATTTGATGGGGGCCCTGCAATCGAGCAATGCTCTGAGTGAGCTGATTAAGTTGCTCCTGCTGGTTCAATTCAATTTTATTTATATAGCGCCAAATCACAACAAAAGTCGCCTCAAGGCGATTCATAGATACAGAGAAAAACCCAACAATCATATGACCCCTTATGAGCAAGCACTTTGGCGACAGTGGGAAGGAAAAACTCCCTTTTAACAGGAAGAAACCTCCGGCAGAACCAGGCTCAGGGAGGGGCGGGGCCATCTGCTGCGACCGGTTGGGGTGAGAGAAGGAAGACAGGATAAAAGACATGCTGTGGAAGAGAGACAGAGGTTAATAACAGATATGATTCAATGCAGAGAGGTCTATTAATACATAGTGAGTGAGAAAGGTGACTGGAAAGGAAAAACCCAATGCATCATGGGAATCCCCCGGCAGCCTACGTCCATTGCAGCATAACTAAGGGAGGATTCAGGGTCACCTGGTCCAGCCCTGACTATATGCTTCAGCAAAAAGGAAAGTTTTAAGCCTAATCTTGAAAGTAGAGATAGTGTCTGTCTCCTGAATCCAAACTGGAAGCTGGTTCCACAGAAGAGGGGCCTGAAAACTGAAGGCTCTGCCTCCCATTCTACTTTTAAATACTCTAGGAACAACAAGTAGGCCTGCAGAGCGAGAGCGAAGTGCTCTAATAGGGTGATATGGTACTACAAGGTCATTAAGATAAGATGGGGCCTGATTATTTAAGACCTTGTATGTGAGGAGCAGGATTTTGAATTCAATTCTGGATTTAACAGGAAGCCAAAACAGGAGAAGTCTGCTCTCTCTTTCTAGTCCCTGTCAGGACTCTTGCTGCAGCGTTTTGGATTAGCTGAAGGATTTTCAGTGAGTTTTTAGGACATCCTGATAATAATGAGTTACAGTCGTCCAGCCTGGAAGTAATAAATGCATGAACTAGTTTTTCAGCGTCACTCTGAGACAGGATATTTCTAATTTTAGAGATGTTGCACAAATGGAAGAACGCAGTCTTACATATTTGTTTAATATGTGCGTTGAACGACATGTCCTGGTCAAAAATGACTCCAAGGTTCCTCACAGCGTTACTGGAGGCCAAGGTAATGCCATCCAGAGTAAGAATCTGCTTAGATACCATATTTCTAAGCTTTCAGGGCCGAGTACAATAACCTCAGTTTGATCTGAATTAAGAAGCAGAAAGTTCGCGGCCATCCAGGTCTTTATGTCTTTAAGACATTCCTGCAGTTTAACTCATTGGTGTGTGTTATCTGGCTTCATAGATCGATAGAGCTGGGTGTCATCTGCATAGCAGTGAAAATGTATGCTTTGTCTTCTAATGATGCTGCCTAAGGGAAGCATGTATAATGTAAACAGAATTGGTCCTAGCACTGAACCCTGTGGAACTCCATAATTAACCTCAGTGTGTGAAGAGGACTCTCCATTTACATGCACAAACTGGAGTCTATTAGATAGATATGATACAAACCACTGCAGCGCAGTACCTGTAATACCTACAGCATGTTCTAACGCTCTAATAGGATATTATGGTCGACAGTATCGAACGCTGCACTGAGGTCTAGCAGGACAAGCACAGAGATGAGTCCACTGTCAGAGGCCATAAGAAGATCATTTGTAACCTTCACTAAAGCTGTTTCTGTGCTGTGATGAGCTCTGAAACCTGACTGAAACTCTTCAAATAAGCCTCTGCAGATGATCAGTTCAACTATTTGAATTTAAATGTCCATCCATCCATCCATTTTCTTTGTTTGGGAATAGTATGCTATGGTTTTTGGTGTCCCTGGTATACTTTTTCCCATATATACTTTTAGTACACAAGGAACCAGCAGTCACCCACACTTTGAAAACATCTACAACACCGACAGAAGGAAGATTTGGGAACCAGCTTTACTTATACAGTGTCAGCAGAGACTGGTGGGGTCTCTGAACCATCTTTGTTCTCAGCCTATAACATGTTTCTGACTCTAATGCCCAAGAGGCTCTGCAATACTGCCACCAAAACACTAGGTGGAGGTAGGGAGTATATAGCATTGTTGGCCAATCTTTACTTCTTATTTGTACTTCCTGTGTTTATTTTAAATAATAGTGACGACAAGGCATGTCATACTACGCCAACTGGAGCTAATACATCTTGAAGAAGAGATACTGATAATGAAGCAATTACAACCGGGAAACCGAGGGTCTTGAATTGTCACCTCACCAAGAACACCTTACTGATGTTCTTGTACCCCATTCCAACCTTGTACAGGCCTGGAATGGAACAGATTGATTCTGTGGTGTGCAATGAAAATCTCTACATCTCCAGCTCTGCCAACTCCAATTAAGCCTCATGTCTTTTTGTCAGTTGCACATGTCTCCCTCTTATTCACACACATATTCTGTCTTGCATTTACCTGCCAAACTATACATCACAAAAGGACTCACTGCCATGTTTTAAACCTCAGACCTGTCAAATTGTCCATTATTTATTAAAATGCATTAAAGTTATACCTCAAACATTTTCTAGTGAACTTCTGTAAAAAAATAAATTCTCAAAATATCACATCAAAATTTACAAAATAAATGAATACAAAACGTGTGTTGATCCGTCACAAGAGGGCGTAAATGTTCTCTTTATTGCGAGAGCTTGGTTTACCAGTGACAACTGAATGTGGGCCAAAGAGTGAACTAAAGAAATTATTTGGAAAAAAAACAAAAACGTTTGGCTCTTCGATACCTTCTTCCACAAGTTACATTATAAATTATAATGGCTGAATTCGGTTAAGATGACCTCGGGCCTTTTAAATCAAACTGTTAAATGTTCCTCTTAATCATAGTTAAGTTTTATTATTGTTATTATTGTTATTATTATTGGTTCTACAAGCAAAACATAGACAAAATACAATATAAAATGTTAAATGTAAGTTACATGTGTATTTAAAACATATCAGAATACAAACTATGGTAAAATAGCCTGTTTGATATTAGCCGAACGGTGAGACATCCGAGAACCTTCACAAACATACATCCGAGATATTGTAACCTGTAAATTTAAAGAAATAACGGGTATTGTTGATGGAAAAGTCGTGCTTTCTCTCTGTCTTTTCAATACACAAGTGTAAGCTTATATCCCTACAGGAACTGAACGTACTGCTACTTCTCCACTTCCTCCTGTTGCCAACCTGGGAAGCGCTCTCTTCCCGTAGACTGGCAGTGCAAGCGACACTTAGCCCACCATTGGCTGTCCCGACTGCCGAAGCTGGCAGGCAGTGGCGACAGGGAAGGACCGGACCAACGGACCTTTTTGGTGGAAATACTGACATAACGCCGGGAAATCGGGCGGAAACAAAGGGAATATATGTTTTTATAAATGGTCTGGATTTCCTAAACAGACTGAAACGCTGCTAACGGTGAATGTTAGCTGGAAGTTTCCTAGCTGGTGCCGTGATGTGGTGACGCGACTCCACGGAATCGACGGGAGGCTAACGTTAGCTGATGCTAACGCTACTTGATAAATGAATAATTTTTAACAGAGCTTTTACGACTCATTTCAGGATTTTAGCATTTTAGATAGTGTAAGAAACTTTTATGATAGATTTTATCATGTTGTGTACTTTTATGTTAATGCTCAATGACTGCCTGACGTATTTAAGCTAAAATAGAGCAGCAAACATTAGCTTCCTAGCTGGCTAGTAGCTAACATTGGCTAGTTGTCGACTTTAAACTGTCTTTAAGCCAAAGAATCCTGTTTCAAATGAGCTAAACCGACTACGGCTGCTTATTATTTTCACGCCACTTAACTGTATCAGTTAATGTTCACTAGTTATATATGAGTCAAACTTTATATCTGAGGATGGTCGTTCGTTTTGAGATGCAAAAATGAACGCTTCGTTCCAGAATCCAGATATGCAATCACCGAATCACCAGCTTACTTAGTGCTTGGTGGCTAGCGCAGAGTTAGCCAGTCAAACTTGGAATACTGCCCCCTGCTCACTTTATGCGAGTGTCGCTTTGAGGCCTTTTCTGAAATGATCTCTTTTTTTTCCACCAAGAGGACCCTTTCACTGCCTTAATGCATCCCTGCCTCTGAATGGAATTTCTGTTTTGAATGACTCTGGATACTTGTAAAGCTTGACAAGGCTCTAATCCACAGTTGGAGTTAGCTGGACTTGTTGACGTTTACTTCGTCATAACATAACCTGGATTTACGAAGGAACTTGGAGTAATAATATTCTTTGAAGGTGAGAAAGAACTTTAACATGAAAATACTTGAGAAAACAATTGTAGGGTTTAACCTAACTCCCAGACGTATCTGATAGCATTACAATGGGCAAGCACTATACTGTCGATGCATTTGGGCTTCCAGCCATCCTCTTGATGGGGACCTAGTTCTTCATTAAAAATAATTTACAAAATGCAAAATACAAAAATACTTTGAATAGATTTGTAATTACTTTGACAATTGGTGGCCCCCTTAATCGTTTGCTATACCTCATTTACTACCCAGCTAGCCCTTATCTTCACCTCTGCAAAAAAGAAAAAGCATCGAGAATCGCTCCTCTGTAAGTCAGCCAAAGTCCTCTACTTCCACTTGTCATCCTGTAGTTTTCGATGCATGGTGCAGTAGGTATCGGTGGTTCTCCCCGCCATCTGTCACTACCTTTACAAAGATCCTCAATGTGACCATCCCCCTCTTAAACATGGTTTATCCAGAGGGGCTTGACCTCAATAAAAAGCCTTAGTTTGGATTTTGCGTTTCGCTTTGCAAGGGTCTAGTAGGTAGATTTGTTCTAAATAATTGGCATGTATCAAGAATGGTTTCCCTCAGTTATAGGAAAGTGCAGTTGACTGTTTTTGAGATTTTGGTGTACCTAGCTGCTACTTGTTCCCTATTGGAAGTTGTTGTTGTTCCTTTTAGGTTGGTTAAATCCAACTCACATGACTCCTGGTTTCCAGGAGCCTGTCTACAGGACTTGAGCCGCTTGATATGGAGAGCGGCCTTATTACCCAGACCTTCTCAGCTTTTTAGTAAATTTAACTAGAATGGGTTAACGTAATTGTTTTTCTATAGACTACTATCAGCACAAACTAGTTAACCATTACAGTAAGTCAACTAGATTCAACTGATTTTGGTCTTTGTTGTCCCTTTTGTTAGTCAAAAAGCTACTGTGAGGGTTAATTTAAACTATGGAGATTAAATTACCCCTCATGAGGACTTTCAGACTTGCCCACTGTCTAATCTTATATCTCAGTTTGTTAATAATTTTGTTAATATAGGATCTGTGTGTGTGTGTGTGTGTGTTTTGTTTGTTTTTTTTTCTTTGGTGTTCTTCAAAGTGGTTTTGGTATTCTGTTTTAACACAATAAAATGCTTTTTGACTTTTTTGCTTTATTGACGTGACAGTGACGGAGGTCCTTGTTTCTCCTGTTTTCTCCTGTTCTTTATTGTTGCAGATGATGTGCGAGGTGATGCCCACCATCAGTGAGGCCGAAGGCCCTGGTGGTGGAAATGGCGGAGGCCGTCGAGGTTCCGGTTCACCACTTCAATCTGACTCAGAGGGTCACTTTGAGTCGTTGATGGTGTCTATGCTGGAAGAGCGAGATCGTCTTCTTGAGACCCTGAGAGAGACTCAAGAGAATCTGGGCCTGACCCAGAGCAAACTGCATGAAGTTAGCCATGAAAGGGACTCACTACAGAGACAGCTGAACACTGCTTTGCCACAGGTAAGTGAGAGAGACCTTTTTTCTTAAAGGAAAATCCTATTCTTAGTCCAGGTAGATTAATTCTTAAAGAAATTCAGTGTTTGCCATTCTACAGTTTTTTCCTGAGACTAAGCCTTTACTGGAAGAAATAGTACAGAGAGTGGTTTGGTTTGGGGAATTGTATGGCTTCTGGATTGTATGTTACAATGAGATTTGAACTAGCAATGCACCAATATTTGGATTGGCTTTCTGCCAGATGGTAACTCGAAAAGCTGGATTGGATATCAATAACAATGAGCCTATGGCCAGTTAATTCAGCTCAGGTGTATGCCGCTTACTAAACCACTTTGGCAGCAGAAGGCAGGTTGCTAGAGGAGGAACTTACATTGTGTAGAGGAATCGAATAGTTTTTTGTTTTTTTTTCAGTAGTTCATAATGTAACCAAGAATAGTCAAGTAAGAAGACACAACTGAAAAGCTGACAAAGTTGCTCTCTTTCTCTCTTGCTCTCACTGTTATGTTCGGTGTATTACTACTTTGGAAGATTTTACTACAGCCTAACATGTTTCAGCATCCACAAGTCTAATAGGGTCCGTGTGGATGTCCATGTGCCTACCTGTATTTTGAGACCAGGTAGTCTTGTTCACAGTGAATTTACATTATAATGCACCAACTACACATGCGCTCCAGACAATAGGTGTCAATTGGACTTCAAAGAAGTATAACAGGAATGATCGTTTGGCTGTGTGGTTTTCAGCTGTCTGTTTGTGACGCCTAGGATTGAGAGGGTAAAAAGGACAAACTAGTGGTCTTACTGCACAGCGTCCTAATAACTCAAACTGAGTGCAAACAAATTGGGCGGACAGCAAGAATATATTTATTTGATTGTAGTTATTATTGTCCTGTTGACCTATACAGCTTTTTTTTTTCTCTTCCTTAAAGCGTCACACTGCCTCCAACAGCTTGCCTTCTTTCCTGATGCCAGGTGTATTTTTTTCCACACACGGACAGTAGAGAACAGAGGTCTCAAACTCATTTTACAATTTGGGACACATACAGCCCACTTTGATGTTAAGGGGGCCAGACCAGTGAAACGCCCTTTCTGTCAGTGTAAAGAAGTGACATGTTTAACTGTTCACTACATGATAAAGTAAAAGCTGCTTTGACAAAGAAAGAAATCTGTTAGTATGACTCTTTGGACTGAAATGTGTAAAATTATAGAAAGGTTCTGGAAGCTTATTTTCCACTGTCCAGTTGTGTTTTTTGTTTTGTTTTGTTACTGTAGTTGTAAAAAACAAACAACCCATTGTTATAGTAGAAAGTGAAAAATGGAAACATTTCTATCATTTAATTGTTTATTGCTTAATTACTTTGTAGTATAAATGGTCATAAGGGAGTATTTTAAGCAGTAGGAAAAAACTATAAAACTTATGAAAATACAGTAAAAAGTCCAAGATAAACAAGGTAAGCAAGATAAACAAATGTTAAGAATTATAAATGGGCTCAAGTGCACATTTAGGCCTGTGAGACTCAGACACTGAGCCGTGGCTCTGTGGCGCATGCAGTTCTCATTCTTAACATTCGTTTCGATGTCACTATGGGATACCCCTCCTTGCATGTTCCTCAGAAGCATTTATCTCATTCTGTCAATCCTGATTGAATGATGATCATGACAACCATGTCGTGTAGAGCCGCCCACCCTTGCACTTTTACATAGTCGTTATTCAAAAACCTCTTCTCGCAGCGATATCTCTGCATATCTAAACCTTCGTAGGCTGGCTAGCTTAACTGTTCACAGACAGGAGTGTTAGCTTTTTTCCCCCCAACGGGCGCTAGCTACCTTCGCTCGTCTCTCCTGAACCCAGATCTTCACCGTAGATTGGACGTCATACCACTTACCTCCGGTAAGGCGGTCTTGTCTGCACGATTTAGCACACCAGCTAACACCACTCTCCTTCGGCTGAGACTAGCAAACCAACTAACTTGTATCCCTCTCCGTTAGCATCCCAGCTAGCAAAAAATCGTTTTGGTTTTTGGACAAAGTTTGTGTTTTCCATTGTTTAAGCACCGGTTCCAACCAAAGTAGGTATGTTGTATTAACAGAAAAGGCTAACTTGGTTATTATTTTGCAGAAAAAAAGAGTGCTAAAAATAAAAACATAAGAGGTTTTTTGGACAAAGTTTGTGTTCTCCATTCTTTAAGCACTGGTTCGAGCACCGTTTAAGCACTGGCACCGTTTCAAAAGTACCGGTTTGGCACCGGTATCGGATAAAACCTAAACGATACCCATTCTTATTCAGGTCATCAAACAAATTTTAATATCAGTCAACGATGATCCTTTTATATAAAAAATTGAGTCTTTGCCCCTCAGGCAGAAAAGGTTGATGTGGTAGTGTTGTCAATCCGCGGGGCGGAAATTAAGGTTGGGCGACTGGACGAATATATTGACTATCGACGATAGGCTGAGCCTCTCACCGATTGTTTTTACTGAGCGATTTATCTGTTTATTTGCCCATCAGTAAGTTTTGTAATAATGTTGGTTAAAGCTTAAAAAAAAAGCAGTCGGCGGGAAAAACATAATAGCGCTGTTTTATTGCCTATGTTCAGAAAAAAACAAAAACATTTTATTTTAATTAAAAAACCCGCAATGGTAGGGAGGGAAACAAAGAGAAACTGGCTTCTTTTTTCCACTATAACCGTGTTTATAGGCTGTTCCAAACAACAAATGCAAAATTAAACAAGAAGTAAGTTAAACATCAAAATGTTTCTTCCACTGAACATTAAAAAAAATCTCAGACGTAATGTTAAGTCTTTTGTGTGATTTGGCGCATCTCAAATAAATGAATGAGTAATTCAAAAAGTAGCTATATTAATACTGAAACAAACAAGAAAGAGAAGGTAAAATATTCCCTCCAAACAAAACTTATAAAATCAAAATGTGCAAATCAGTCCTTGCATGATTACATTGCTCCACCCTTCAAAAAGTCACCTGCGCAAATATATCGCCTATCGTCGTTTGTTGGACTGACGAATGTCGGTTGAATGTCGGGCAGTGTGGACGTCCAAATTTGTGAACATGAGAACGAGGCGACGTAGGATTGTGATACCACAGGTGCATCTACTAAAAGTCTCAAACAAGTTTGAATCTCAGTGACCTTGACCTCAAGGTCAGAGGTAAAGTTTTCTGAAAATCTTGTGAACACAATTTCAAATGTATACCATAGGTGTGTTTGCTAGGAGGCTGAGGGGTAGCACTGGCATCCACCAGTATTTTGAAATGATGATTTTGTCTATTAAGGGGGAAGAAACCTAGCCAAACGTTTCCAAAAAGATGACCTTAATTTCCCTAACCACACTCGGGCCTGATTACACCCAGACTACAAGCTACTGTTAGTAACAGACTGATGAACCTGCCCAGGGTGTAGCCCAACTCTCGCCCTATGGTAGCTGGAATAAGCTCCAGCCCCAGGCTACTCTGATAAGGATAAGCGGGAGAAAATGGATGGATGGTTAAAAAAATAAATAATATTTTCACTTAGCACATGTCAAATTTTGTCCTTATTGTTAGGCTTCATCCATCTCTTTGAAATCATAACACCCATGGTGATATTGTGCTTCCTGTTTTTAAAAGACCAGTGACCAAATTTTCTGTTCTGGTCAGTGCTACAAAGGCATGAATTGAGAGTGCTCAGTAGTAAGACACAGAGACAAAGGCTGGCTTGTTACACATAGTGACAAGAAAGTGACAGAGTGCAAGTGTTGCTTTTGGCCAAATGTGAGCTGAATTAATAGATTAAAAGGAAACGGACACAAATGGAGAAGAGTGCTTTTTTTTTTTTTTAATGTAGTTTAGTTTTAAAGGCCAGTTGCTTTATTCTTAAAGCTTTACCAGCCTATTTATATTAATTATCTAGAATGGTTTTTTGTTGTTGTTGTTGTTTTAAATGGATATTGCTTTACATACATGCATACATTTTGGTATGTTTTGTAGGTTTTTGTAGGCAATACTGGTTTCAAATTCCTCTACATTTAAATGGATTCAAATATTTCATTCCATTTTTTCTTTTTCAGCCATTTCTCAGTGTGCTTAAGATCATTTTCCTGTTGAAAGGTCCAACTCTGGTTAATATTCAACTGTTGAATAGATGGCTTCTTTTTTGCTTCACATTCTTAAACTCTCTTGAAACTCTTTCATGCGATTCTTCTGTAGGTTGCAGAGGTGGTTTGTTGTGGTGGTGCCCAGTTTGCAGGATCATTTGGACAGTAGTTTTCTGGTCCATATCAGACTTTGGAGCAAATGCCTCAAGTTGTTTTAGCTGGTCCTTCTGGGTTGCCATGGTGACTACTGCAAATAGCAATGAAAGAGTATTTCAATAAGAAGTGTATTTTGCGCACCACGAAATAAGCAATAGACTACAATATAATTTGATAGACATTTTAATATTGTCATTCCTTATGTTTTGTGATATTGGACAACCCTAAAGGAATTTATTATAAACATTTGGTTTATGCTCCATTTTTAGTGTTTGTTTTTTTTTAAATGTGTTAAGAAGATTTTAAATGAGATGCACTTCTCTACAGCGTCATGTGAGTAAACCTGTTCTTTAGCTCATCTTTTTGTTTAAATCTATTTGCAAACACATGGAATGTGTAAATTTAATAAAATGACTTTTCACCCATGGTGTTCACTAGGGCTGAACTGATTCCTTGAGGAATTCAATTGTAGAAAATTGTTGACACAAATTTTTTTGCTTCGTTTTAAACAAGTCTCTGCAATGCGCCACTGTTACCATGGACACTCAAGAGTTTCACCCTCGTTTACGACACAGAACTGTAATAGAAAGGTACTTTGGTGCGGTGTGTGAATAAAAAATTTTGGGAGCATTAACTGACGCAGCCCCAGTTTTTCAACAAAAAGATTGATAATACATCAGCATCAGTGAAGATAAACGCTGGCTTGGAAACCCTCCAATGTGGCTGAATTACAACAGTTCTGCAAAGATGAGTGGGCCAAAATTCCTC